GGAAATCGTCGTAATAACCGTGGCCCGGTACGCAGCTTACCGCCCGCCCGGCGAACGGAACGAGAGCTACGAAATCGCGAAACGCGTTATTTACGATGTCTCTCGTCCCTCCGTGCCGGCCCTCCTCGATAATCGTACGACACGGCCGCCTCTAATCCGGCACACGGATCGTAAAATCGTGTTACGCCCTGCGAGAACTCGTCCGGGCTAAAACGGAGCTGCCCGATGCTTTTTAAGCAGCGCTAGCTCTCTCCCGGATGTTTAACGTTTCAACCAGCCCCCTTCCACCGACATTCGTAAAATATCCTCGGCCAAAGTTTCACCCCCGGTCGCGGAGAAGAAGGGCAAAGTTCGAAACAAGCCCGAGGTGAAACGAGCACGTCTTAACACCTGTGCGCACTGAAATTCCCGACAGCGCCGTCCACTCTTATAGCGACGACCCGCCGCTCGTTCCTTTGCCCGACACGTTACGCTGCTATAGAGACTCGCGATCTCCTTTTCCGCCGTGTTTCCCGTTCCCCTGTCCCTCCGGTGAACCACCCCACGGCACATTAGACCACCCTTTACCCGCGGGGGTTGACTTATGACGCCGCCGGGCTCCGCACGAAGGGGGATTGAGTAAGTTACCTTGCTCGCCCGCTTATATTCTTGCCTTTTCGCGGGGATCGAGCCGAGAGGAAGATCGCCGCGCGCGACAACCTCGATGGAAATTCATCCGGACGATTCTGCACGGAGAGAGGAGTATCAAGAGTTTACCGTTGGAGGTATTTTTTTCGTGAATTCCGCGCGATGCTTCGATCACCGAGAAACAGGGGTTTTGATTGTTTGCGGGTCGAGAGCCGACCGAGAGCCACTTCCTTTGCAGCGAACTTGTGCAGTTTGATATTCGATATATTGTACGATTCATTGAATAAATTAGTCATCTAGCTCTCACAATGCTCTCTCGCTGATTGAAGGCAAACTGCCTTGTTCGCTCAACTCCGAGCAATCTCTTGGCAATGCACAAACGCTCGTGCACTCGGAACTCCCGCAACGCACGCTCGTATCGAGGATTTCCATCTACGCTTCGTAATTTTCTAACATATGTAACGTTACAAAACCTTGGAGAAAAACCGTCTGTCGAGGCTGTCAGAGGATTCGTCGAGAAATTTTCATTGGAATTCGGCCCGCGTACCATGGCGCGACGGAAAGCAACGCGCAAGCTACGTATGCATACAATTAACGGCTCGTTTCATTGCTCGCGAATAGGAACGACAGGGCGGTGTGGGAACGTCAACGGGTAATTCGATTTCCTTTCTGGCGGAACGCATTCGGGAACCGACGCGACTGCTTCGAATCCTCGCGAAAGACGTTTCATGCCCGCATAATCTTCCCGTCTCTCCCGCCATTCTCTCTTATATCAGCGAACCGGGACGCATCTGACGTTAATGCGCCCTGCCCGGGCCCCCGTTCCTCCCCCGCAGCCTCTCGACGAACCGAAACGCAAACGTTTGTCGCAGCGCCCGGAAATTTCCTTCGTTTTCCGCGGAGAAACGGGGCCGATCGAGTCGTTCCGTCTCTCCGCGAATGGCGGGATGAGAAGAGGCACGCGAATACCCGGCGGAATTAACCGGCGCGACACTCGAAACCGTTCCCGGGCCGTCGAAAGAAATTAGTATCGGCCGGGTCGAGTGTGCTCCGTCATTCGCGAAATCACTTACCGAGTGAAACGCGGTAGCGAGCGCGGTATTCCAGCATTTCCATGCAGAGCACCGTTCCCGGGACGAAACGACGCGGCCAGAAGTGGTCGGCGCAAGTACGGGGTCCAACGTAAACATATTTTCCGTTTGTATTTTGACTGAATCGAACGTAGCCCGCTGGGAATGCAACGGTACACGAACCGCGCCGGCCAACTCTCGCTCTCTTTCTCGCTTCTCTTTCGCCTCTTTACGCGCGGTTCGAGCCCCGCCGCGCGTGAATAACTTCCCGATAATTATAATTGACTTTTGTACCGCGGTCGATATGTCTACTTCGCTGTAGTCCGTGTATTAATTACGGGGAACGCGTGCGCGCGGCCGGTCGTAACAAAATCTTGTCTCCGTTTTCAACGATGCTGCGGAAATAACGGGGAAAGAAAAGCGCTGGATAGAGGACCTCGGGAGAAAGCTGGGCGGCAGACTGTAGCCTCGGGGTAAACATATTTTCTGTTTGCATTCTATCTCAATCGAATCGAACGAACGATGCGCGGCCCCGTCTTTCGAAGTCATCGCCCACATCGGTTTCTATCTGTATTCCCTTCCTGCTGTATCTCGCCGCGGCGCGCGCGCGCGCGAGTGCGAGCGCTCGACGGGGGCAAAGGGAAACGAATGGCAGGGGAAATAGGCGATAGTGAATAAAGTACGAGTCGCTGCACACCGCGCGTGTACATTTCGCGTTTACCACTCGTAATATTAAATATAAGGAAAGATATTTCAATATCGACGGGTAAACACACAAATAGTTTCGGCGCTTCCCGCCTGCGCGTTCGTTGCTCCCTGTCCCTCCTCCCACGCTCTGTCTCCTACGCGAGGAGCTCGATATCTTTGTACATATTTATGCAGGCGAAACGCACCCGTTCGCCAGCCTGTCCTCGTGAGGAGGGACTCCGAACATTCCCTTCTTGCCTTCTGACAGCTGAAACGCGGTCTTGATAAAAAAACGCTCCCCGTTATTGTCGCGGCAAAGCAGCCGATTTTCCGTACACTGAAATTTACCTTGGATGTTTGCTAACTGTCGGGGACCACCTTCTAGGGTTCACCTTTTTGAAAGATCTAATCGTTGAGATGAAACTTGGAGGAGTATCCTTATTTCATTCGAGTAGAATCGATCTTGGGAATTCGCTTGGATGCTGATTTAAAGTCTTTAACACTAGGTTTACCGTATCACTTTGTAATCAATTGTACTGACTTTTATCCATACATCTCGTAGTTTCATTTATAAGATCATTGTGTATAACGATTTCGTTTTTGAAATTGTTTCTCAAAGGAAACGTGTGATTCCGTTCGTAACTCAGATTGACCCGTGTCGGTAGAGATAGGTATATAAAAATGTCAGTGAACCCAGAGTTAAGTGCTGTATTGAGATGAAACTTGAAAGAATATTCTCCTTCCATTGATAATATAGTCCGTCGTTCCATCGCAAGTTCAGCACGATGAAACGACCGCGCAGTAGATACTCATCTTCATTCAATTTCCAATGTCCACGCGAGGAAAGCCCCTCGCGCGCAGCTCCGTTATCGTCGGCGGCTTAGATAGACCGGGTACACAGGTGGAACGTCGTTGTTCCGAGTCGAAGCCGTGAAGACGCGATAAAATTCGCCCAGGGAACTGCCGACAACAACGGCGAGAGTGAGGCTCGCGTGCGACGATGATTATTCTGAATTCATAAAGAACCTTTCTAATCGGCCGCGTCGGGCATCTAATTGCCCTTGCTGCCGTGGTCCCACGATCTTGCGTTTTCTGCTTTCATTACCGATACGTCGAGCGATGCATTAAACGCACGCGTTGCCCGCTCGCTCCCTCTCTCGCTCTCCCTCTCTCTCTCGCGCGTTTTTCGCCACGTTCTAGCCGCTGGCGGCTCGCCGGAACGCGCGACCGATCGGCGAACGCGCGGTGAATAATCAAAGGTGTTCCTCCCCCTCGGAGCGGAACGCTCGATTCGATCCTCGTTTCGGTATCGAGACGAGAGGGAAGGGCAGAGCGCAAGGAAAGGATGAGCAACGGTTTCCGGGCGGCCGGCCGTTCACGGCAATCCGAGTTTTTCACAGCCACGCTAACAACGTGCACGTGACTGGATGGGATAACAATATGACCACGCGTTCCTTCCTGGTCAGCTTACTGGAAATTGTAGATGAGGCTCGATTATGTATTCCGATCGTACGTGATATCAAACCACCTCGGCTTCTCGCTCGTGATGGAGTGTTTTCTGCCCTCGACCCCTTCGCCCGTCCTCCTAGGTCCACCCTCTTCCACTCCGCCTCACTCTCTCTCTCTCTCTCTCTCGCGCTCCCGTCGAAGTCACGTTCACTACGAAACCGTATAAATCCATAGGGTAGCCGGACTAGTAGGGAAATATTTAAACCGGCTTCCAGCAGCAACGAATAACGAGAATTCGGGCGAAAAACCTCGCCCGATTCGATCTCCCGTTCGAGGAGAACCGGCTCGCCCTCCCCGGCCATTAATTATCCTTATTAATTATCGTTCGGCGGCGAGTCTGAAGAGCGATCGACGGAAAACCATCCCCGTCGATCCGTCGTGTTTACTTAGCGAACCTTAGGGGGCGGTAAACCGAAGTCGGAAGTCGTGAAACTGGGCGCGCGGGGGGAAGATACGGGAGGCGGAGATCCGAGGGGGCTGAATTATACCGAAGGAGTGACGTCTACGGAGATAATCACACGCCTCGTAACAGCCAGTTCATCATCGTGGTATCGTGCTAAGGGGCTTGATGCATCATGGAAATCGCGCACGGAACCGGCCGGGTCAAACTGAAAGTGGAATAGACGGGGGCTCGCAACGGGGCTTTGAAACGGATTCCCAACCCTCTCTCTCTGGACGGGGTGCTTCCGCGCCACTTCACCCGCCGCGTTCCTCGACCCGTTACCAACTCAATTAGCGATGGAAAAACGAAACGAAAGAACGGCGAAGACCGCGTAACGCTTCCGCGCGGTCGCGCTCCGTCGAATTCTAGATGTTCGTGTTTATCGCGGACGATTCCGTCGATGAGGTTGAAACGCGGAGGCCGGCGGCCCCTCCCCCCGGGGGTTTCAAAGTTTCATCGACGGCACCAGGAGTACGTCGAGACGGTTTCCTGGGCGAATTTCAGAGGGAACGATCGAATTAAAATGCAACGAGGCCGTTCGCGAAACGATTCTCGGGGATAGAATTCGTTTCTCTCGGTGTACGTTCGCTTGTCGATCTATTATGAAAGCCGTTTATGAGCTGCGACTGCCTGATTTTCAGAGGATTCTCGGTTTTCTGTTACAGGAGCGCTGCAAATCACCAGATCCGAGGAGAGGGATCAAGGGACGTACGAATGCGTGGCGAATAACTCCGTCGGCACCGAGTATTCCAAGTCGGCCATGTTATACGTGAAAGGTACGGGACACACAGGAGTCTCTGGGATTCTTATCGCTGTCGCGGACGCTTTAACAAATTCATTACGGGAAGGGAACGCTAGTCCCGCCGGCTTGGTCCGGCAAAGTCAGTCGTTTTCCTGTTTGTAATTAAAATTAATGCAACGTAATTAAACGGAGTTGACGGGGCACAAAGGATACGCGCGCGTGGAATCGCATTGCAAACGTTACACCGGGGACACGACATTTCTTGCGGTGACGCGGGACTAGCGTCGACTGCCCCGAAATTCGCGTCACGTGAAATCGAAGCATTCTCTTCCCAAACGCTGGCGAGCGAGAGATTAATACGCTTTATCTCGATTAACGGGGACCATAAGACACGCAGCAAATGTTTCGGTTAGCTAAACATTTCATAAATATCAAATTCAATATCATTTCTTTGTCATTAATTGGTATACTTTCAAACAAACCTATACACAAAATCAACAGAGAATTCTCCTGTTTCTCTATTAAACGATTAACAAGTCCATCGCAGATCTTAACACTAAAACTACCAAGCAATTCTTGAAAATTCTCTATAGAAACTCCAAGAGTGCATCTATCCAAGGCTTTACTTGATTCACAATTCACTTTGCGTACCGCTGAATCAATTTCCATAATAATATCTCAAAGAAACATCTTTCTAATAACTCCGAGAAGAACAAATCGGGAATAAGTCGTTACGGCCCGTCCGGTAGGTTTAGTGTCAAAGGTCGCAGGGCAAGGGTTTAACCACCGGACACCCGATTAACGGAGGAATCATTTTTCACGCAGTTCGCCGCGTGCCACCGGCATTCTCCATACCACCCCCCGCTGTCAGCGAAGTGGTGTTGGGCGCGTCTCTGAACCTGACCTGCGTGGCGGCTGGCTCGCCGATGCCCTTCGTCAAGTGGAAGAAAGACCCCGCCACCGATCTGACGCCCGACGACGATCTCCCGGTGGGGAAGAACGTGTTGATGCTCACGGACATCCAGGAGTCGGCGAACTACACCTGCACCGCAGCCAGTGACCTCGGGGTGATAGAAGTCACCTCGTTGGTGAAAGTTCAATGTTCGTATCGAGATGGATCGGAGGGGCCCCGCGTAAATCCACAGAGATCGCATTAGCGGGCGCACGGACTGTGTAACGTGGGACGATCAATCACGCGGTCGTCGCGCGTCCCACGCGGAACGGGACCGTGGCCGGGCGCCGTTCCGATGACTAATCAATCGGCTTATGCCCGTCGCGCAGACACACACCGCGGACAATGCATTTTGCCCAAGTTCCTTGCTCCATTTGTTGTGCACCGCGTAAAACGTGTGCCGATGCGCTCGCTACGCTGATCGAACCGTATCCACCGTCTGCCTCGCGTAACTCTGTTTGCCGTTTCAACGGAATAGACACTGGAGATGCGCGGGAATTCGGGTCGTGTCGGGTCGTCGAGAGGAAGATCGCATGGGAATCTAAGCATTTCAGAGATCTAGTCGTTTTTTTCTTAATGCATTGAGCGCCGACTTAAGAGGCATTTAACCCTTTGAACTCTGTAGGCTCCAATATTGCACCAGTTATAATATTAGATATTTTAATGAATCTTGTATTGAAACTATGGGAACACTGGATTCAAGTAGATTAAACTAATCTGAAATATTTTTCTGTATATAATGTATGACTAACGGAAGATGGAATTGTTGAATTAGAATCCTGTTACGTCTGACCTAAGCGAGATTTGCTGCTTATTGTCAGTAACATTTTACGGCGCTTCGGGGCGAATAGTCAAGGGGTTAAGCACTTGGAATTTTATTTGAGATGCATTGTAGTTATGCGAGTATCATGTTGTGTGTTATACGGGGCGATGCGTAACTGGTACAACCGGATAGGGGCGGATTCTATGTGAAAAGATAAGTAGAAAGTATAGAATAACATTTTTCTTACGAGATATTCCGTTTCCAACTTATCTCACTAATTCGACTATAACAGAAATTTCACATTATGTAATTGACAAACGAACTTGGTACAGTAAGGATACCAAAGACAGAGTTTAATCTTCGTATTGCTTCTGCCCCGAGACATGGTTCCCGAGATCTCGTAAACCCCGAGCAGATCTAAAAAATCCCGACGCGACCCGAGTATATACCCGGTACCCAAAATTTCCGGGGTTCCCCGACACTCCCGAGCAGAGACGCCTCGCCGAAAAGCATTTACTTTGACGCGATCTAATTCCAGCTCTGCCGAGTCCGCCGGAAAACGTTCAAGTTTCGGACATCACCGCGACTTCCGTGAAGCTTACCTGGTCGTACAAAGGGTCCGACGAGTTGCAGTACTATGTGATCCAGCACAAGCCGAAGCACGTGAACCAGGCGTACGCCGAGATATCCGGAATCACGACCATGTACTATCATGTTCGGAATCTGAGCCCTTACACGGAGTACGAGCTCTACGTGATCGCCGTCAACGTGATTGGGCGTAGCCCGCCGAGCGCCCCGGTGACAGTCACCACTGGCGAGACAAGTCAGTATACTTTACGCGGACCGTGTGTTCGCTTCTCTTTCATCGCCGTAGCACGTTAACACGGGCCATCGTCGGCGTCCCGTCGGCACGACGACGCGTCGCGACGCGCCTACTCGAATTTTATCGAGAGAAATCCGGCTCGTCGCGCGTCGACGGGACGTGCACGCTGGGAAACACCATGCAGCGTCGTTCGAGTCGACGGATCCGCTGGGGATTACTCGAGCCGGGCGGATCCTCGGCGCGCGAACTTTTCATCATTGTTCGTTCACACAGTTTTCTCTCGCGCGGGAAACACGAGAGTAACGGAAATGCCCGGTCTCGAAACGCTCCCGCCGGACATCTTTCTCGGAAAGATGAAAAGGAGGGAAAGTGGCGCGGCGAAGGACGATCTCGTTGATCTCCTACTTTTTTT